ATAATCACTGTCAAATACTCATGGAATTCGTGTCTGTACACATGTTAAGTCAACTGCAAAGTCAGAATCACTGTCCAGTACTCTTGAAATTCGTATTTGTACATATAGAATCAAAACCTTTCGGTAAAAATACAAAATTCATCTTTGTAAAACTAAACCGACTTTTATTTGTTTTTAAACCCTTACCAAACACAAAGCAGGCTGATTTCAAATCAGCAACCAGTTGGATCCTTTACAGATGTAAAGAGACTCGGCATGTGTGTAATCAGTCATATGTGTCTGTTACTTGCTTTTAAGAGCAAGAGTAACAAATTCCAATACGATCTCTTGCCTGGCTGGCCTATCTCTATCTTCAAAACAATTTTATTGCAACCCGATATAGGGTTTCAAGAGTTTTAATTGCATTGGGCCCGGGTTACGGATTCGGGCCGATCCAAAATTTAACAAATTCCAATCCAAACCAACCTAATCCAATTACACTCGGAATTTTCTACTGTGGCAGCAATTAGGTAAAGAGTGGATAAAAAAAGTAAATAGAAAATCTAGGCTCTTCTAATTAGGGGAACAATTTTTACGGTCGAATTAAACTTTTATCAAAATTTAAATGAGCCTAGCCTAAAATGTTGAGGGCCAACCCGAGTTGCACATCCATATAGCACCCCAATTGAGACTGCTATGGCTTTGACTGTTCGGTGGAACTCCTATCTTCCTTTTGGTTTATATTTTATAATGAGAGAGAGAGAGAGAGAAGGGGGGAGGGGGGATGATTAGCTTTCCGACAAAGTTATAAGTAGGTCCGTTCTGATATAATCGTCTAAAACGAGACATGAAAATGTTAAAAATATTTAGATATTTACTTTTTTTAAAATATTTGTTTTTCAAATTGTTTTGTTCATATGAATCAACCCAAATCCTTCCAATCTCTTTTGATCAATTTATTTTCTAAATTTTCTCTTTATATCAATCACACTCTCTTTGTTTTTATTGTTCATAAAATTTTGTATTGTTTTTATTTTTCTATAAAAATTAGCCTCAATAACAATTTTACAGGCATTTTGAACATTTTCATGTATTCTTTTTCAGAAATTTCTACTCGAGGGAGTTTACTTACAAGTATCAGAAACTTTAAAGGAGGTGATTGCAATTAGTAAACTTCATAGGAGGTTTCAATTTAATTACCCTTAGCTGTGCTTTCACATTTGAACCCCACAAAATGTGCCCATGGGATACCTCACAACACATCCGAACCGTGTACGGGAGATATTCCCAACGCATGCTGAGATATGCATGCAGGCCTCTGGGGCGTACTGGACGCAAATGTGAACTCATGCTTTCTACCGTTGCTACAAGTTTCACAACCGATCTGGAACTATAAGAAGTACAATTTACCTTAGCTCCATGTCATTTGCATCTCCAAGGGAGTAAAGTTTTGCATCCCAAATAAAACAAAGTAAAATCCAAACACAATCTAACGATTATAACCATGATTTTACTCACTCACCTCCGTTCTACACCTCTCAACATTTTAATTTATTATGAAAAACTAGCGGAAAGATAACACACGTGATTATTTGAAAAATTAAAGGAATAATAGCATATAAGGGCAACTTTTCGGTTTAATATCAATAAAAGTAATACTTTTAAAAAATTTTAAAAATATGTTAATTTTTTAAAAATAATATCAATAAAGAGTAAAAATACTATTCATCATCTTCTTCTTGCCATTTGTTCACCAGCACCGCCGTTCACTGCTGCCTACCACCACCCGCTGCCGCCTCTGCCTCCGCCTCCGGCAACGTTGCTGGAGGTGGTCGAAGGCAGAGGTGGCGGCAGCGGTGCTGGTGGTCATTTCTCTGCCCAATGCTGCCACCTCCACCCACCTCTGCCTCCGGCCACCTCCGACAATGTTGTTGGAGGCGAAGGCGGTGACAGGCGATGGTGGACGGCGGCACTGGTGAACAAATGGCAAGAAGAAGATGATAAACAGTGTTTTTGCCCTTTATTGATATTATTTTTAAAAAGTTAACCTATTTTTGAATTCTTTTTAAAAATATTACTTTTATTGATATTAAACCCCAAAATTTGCCCCTATATGCTATTACCCCAAAATTAAATTCGGAGAAGTACGGATAGGCCCAATGCAAATTTCTGATTTTCACTACAGAGCAATAAACATTCAAAAGGTAAAAAAACCCACTCTATGCACTAATGCCCACCCGTGAATTGGCATCAATTCCGAGTTGTCATCTACCCCAACTGTACTTTGGACCTACAAATTCTGACTCTGGGCTGATCGGTCATTCTCCCAAAGTTTGATAAGGACATCACGGGTGACTTTAATTTGATATGATCATAACATGGGTGATTTAATTTCATATGGATATCCCATTATGCATGGAATATTGATGGAAATATGAAGAAGATTTATAGGTTGCATTTGTTTTCAGTGTAAACTTCATCTGTGTAAAAGTATATCGATAGAGTTCAATGTTGAAGGGATTAAGACTAATGAACCGTTAGAACTTTTTCGATGTAAATAATACATTGATAAAATCAAAATAGTTTTTACATTGATTATTGATGTAAAACTCAACCGATAGGGAAGAACCTTGCACTGAAAACAAATGCATGAAAATTAGGATTGGATCATGATCCCAGTCCATTTGCATATGTAAAAACTTTAGTATTTGAGAGAGGACCGCAAAAACTGATGAAGACTTTATTGTACAAGTAGACTCAAATTTGATTCATTTATATTTGAAATTGAATGTTTGTTTGCTCATAAACCCACAAACACAATATTTTGCGAAAACTAATTGGATCCGAAATGGGTGAAAACTTTTCACGGTAAAATATTTTACCTACATTTTTTTCTTCTAAACTAAAGATTTTGTATATGTTTGGCATCCATGCTGCAGATATAGTAAGAAAATGGTGCTGCTAATGTGTGGGTTGGAAGTATTGTTTTATGAGAAAACGATGCCTTTTTTTTTGTTTGGAAACGTTGCTGCTAGGTAGGATGTTTCCTGGAGCAACAACAACGTTTTCTGTTTGGTACAAACAAGGTTCAAAGTGTCAAAAATGCAATGTGTATCGGAAAGACATTTTTAAGAGATGTATCGGAATACACTTTGGATACATATGGAAACGGACAAAAATTCAAGCTATGCATAAATATGGTAAAAAATTCAAGTAAATCTTAAAAAATATATTACTAACTATATTTACATATTTTTTATGATTGCAAATAAGTCATTTAAATGTAAACAACCATAATTTAATGGTTTATATAAAGTGTGACATATCGGGACACAATTAGTAACCCTCGAAAAATGATGGAATAACTAAAATATAAACAAAAACAAAAAATAAAAAAAATAAAATGTGAGTGTCAATTTTCAAAAACCAATATAGTTAATCTTAATATTTATTAGTGTGACCAAGGTTCAAATCTTTCTACAACTAAAATTTGAAGTTTTTACACTAACAAAACGAAATTAATGATAGGGAATCATTTTGAATTAGGCGCTAAAATTCAAATTTAAATTTAAATTTACCTTAGAGTAATTGGCTAATTAATGAAAGAGAAATTAGACTTAAACAAACGACATTAATGAGAGATTCACTATTAAATATGGATAAACGATACAGATTCGTTTCATGCCTGTATCGACCGATATAGATCCGAAATAGCCCGATACGTACGAAAAGATACACACTGATATGTTGTGATATTTTGAACCTTGAGTACCAAATGCTCCAGGAAACGTTTTCAGCACTACTACCCATTATCTAATGCCACGTTAGTGCCACCTTATGTCCGTGTTGGCAGCAAGATCTAGGAAACACCAAATTCGGCATCACTCCAAGCCATGTCTTCCCAATTTCCAAAGCGTGGCTTGGAACACTATTTTTTATGAAAAAACGGTATCAAACAAATAAGCATTTCCAAGTGACTATTTGGCATCATTGTCGTTTCTTGGAGCAACGGCACCACATCGGAAAAAACGGTGCTCCAAGAAAAGGACATTTGTTTGGAACCGTTTCCCCATAAAAATGGTGCTCCAAACCTTGCCTCGAAAATCGAAAAACGGCACCACACCAGACATCGTTTTCTGATAAAATGGTGTTTCCAACCACACATCAGCAGCACCATTTTTTCATATGCAACATCGATACCAAACATGTACAAAAAATAAAGGAGAATGACTAATAACTCCAAGGTCAGAATTTATAGGCTCTAAATTAGGCCTATCGTATTTTTCCGAAATACGGTTTTTTCCTGACGTGACGCTGATGTGTCACTGCGGAGCAACGACATCAATGCCAAAGTGATTCTTTATTTGGTTCTTTTACAATGGTCACGTTAGATATGAAATATTAGTAATTTAAAGACAAAAGAGCGACAAAACTCATTAATAGGCGCTAAACAACAAAATTATCACTGTTCCTTTTGTTTTTTTGGTACTTTTGAAATGTAAACTAGCATCTGAAATTCTTAATCGTCATCTCAACAATAATTGTTTTGAGGAAAGAAACGCAGCCGTGGATCAAACCTCCATTTAACATTGTCCTCAACAAAAGAAGGAAATCTCCACCGTCAATTTCTTTGTGCTCAAGGTGGCCCCACCGTATCAGCCGTACAACAAGTAATCTTGTGGGCCCAGAAGTTCAGGCGTTAATCTACGGTTGTCGTGTAACCAGTCAGAGACACGTGTATGGTCGGCTGAGGCTGCGGCCCACGAAATTTTACAGTCTAATCTAATCCCTCGAGACACGAGACATTGATGTCTGCGGCCTTTGTTGCTCCAGTAAAATTCTAATTTTAAATTTTTAATATCACTGGACTAAATAAAGTAGAGAAAAAATAATGAACAATAAAAAATTGGTAAAAGATTAAGAGAATATCAACAAAACAAAATGAGGATTACTGTGTCGGAATTGGGATTAAAGAAATTACGAGACACAGGCATTTTGATCGCATTATAAATGAGGACGCGAAGAGAGCAGGAGAAGCGCAAATTCCAAGACGGAGACGACGAGCCGAAGGGGCGATTCGTCTCCGGAGATTCTTCGAAGGAAGTCGGTGGCTCCCCTGTTCTGAGGATCCTCGTGCATACCATGGCCGGCCAGTCTCGCAAATGGATGATTCTGGTGGCCACGATTTGGATTCAGGCCTTCACGGGCACAAACTTTGATTTCTCAGCGTACTCCACGGAACTGAAATCGGTACTGGGGATCACTCAGGTTCAATTGAACTACCTCGCCGTGGCGTCGGATCTTGGGAAGGCATTTGGGTGGTCGTCAGGCCTTGCCCTGCTGCATTTACCCTTGTGGGTCGTGATGTTCATGTCTTCCTTTATGGGTCTGGTTGGTTATGGCCTTCAATGGTTCGTGATTCGGAGTTACATCTCTTTGCCTTATGTTCTGGTCAGTTCATCTCTCCCCTCTTCCTTTATTTCATTAAAAACTGAAATTGCTTTTTTGCTGAATATTCTGGGAACTATTTCTTGCTTATTTGCTTTTGTATTGAAACTGGCTCTTCGATAAATCATTTCTTCAATTCGGATTGAAGAACCCTCCATTGGGTTTTGATTCCTGGGTTGAGGAATGATGAAAGAATTCGTTCTGGTCTTGCTCTGTAACTCTGTTTGTGGCTCTGTTTTTACTTCATAGACAATATAAATAATACATCTGCGAGTCAAACTTGGGCTTGCGTTTTTACCAAGTTTAATCATGGAGGATTTTGTTTCTACCTCTCGTCCACCCTTGTCTGAGGTTCCTCTGTTCTTGGAATCTCTCTCTTTCTCTCTTTCTCTCTCTCTCTCTGTCTCTCTCTGGAACAATCCTAATATCCTTTCTCTCTCTCTCTCTCTCTCTCTCTCTCTGCGTCTCGTATTTTTCTTTTCAAGGTGCAAATAATTCTATTGATAGAAAACTGCTAGCTTGCTATCAACCGTCCGTTTCGAATTCATCTCTATGATTCATGAACTAGGAAACTGACAACTGGTAGTTCTCTAGAACACGTGGGCAGGCACATAAATGCATGAACTAGTCCCAGGAGGCTAGAACTCCTGACCTCAATCCGACGGCTGGTAGTCTCTAGATCTAGATCAATATTGCTTTATTGACGATTCCCTCCGCGCCACGTTTCAATCATGTCCTACTTTTGTATCATCACAGATCAAACGGCTATTGTGTATTGTTCATAAAAAAGTACGGTGATGATGTCAGTTCTTACAGAAGATCCGTAAATGATTAAAACACGAGAAAACCTCTTTGGCATTGGAGTATTTCCGACGTGGAGATGGAGTTGTGAACGTAGAGTCGTAGACGTAGACTGCAAAGAGGACTCTTTCTTTCCGTTTATTACTTTTCCTTCGTCGGAGGCCGGATCTGCTCCTCACATAGGACGCCTCACACCAACCTTACAGGCACATCCCATCATGTATTCATGTATTAGAAAGTTATTATTTACGAGAGATATTTCCTAATGTATGATGAGATGTAAATGTGAAGTCGGTGTGAGGCGCCCTAAGGATCAGATCCCATTCCCGTCGTCGTACTAATTGTTTTGTTAAGGCTATTTTGGTCATTGTGGAAATAAACTGTCCGTCAAACCCGGCGACTCGCTGGGCTGGTAGTTATTGGCGTCAGCCTCACGCAGCGAACGCTAACAGAGATTTTCCGGGCTCTTGACAAAACAAAAAAAGAAATAACAAAGATACAACTTTTCTTTTACTTCTTTTTTCTGCCATTTTTTGGAATCTTGAAAATAATGATTTTGCCACGCAAGCAGCTGGTCCACACCTCTCACGTCTGCATGTGATTCCAGTAGCACGTGGGATGAGCACGTGATTCTTTGCGACTTAGAGAGTGAATAGCCCCATGAACTTTGAAAAAAAAAAGATTAAAAAAACTCTTCAAATAAAATTTGTTTGTTGCAACTTGTAAAAAGAAATTTTTAGATTTTAAAATGTCTCTTAGCGGCTTAGAAGTCTATTTTATTTAACGTGTTATGTTGAGAGATATTTTATGAATTTTTCTTTTTTAAATTTTCTTAATAATAAAATTGCCTTTGTTCCAAAATCTTACCTTTTTTTTTTTTTTTCTGTCAAACATCCCTCTTTGCTTTTGTTTGATGGAGAGCAAAGGTTGAATTAGATTTCTTTTTCTTGATTTTTTATAGTTTTTATAATACTAATTGCAACATTAGATTTATCAACAGTACCCATCTTCATTGGTAAGGTTTTTGGCTGGCTGTAGGGAAAGCTTTGGTGAACCTAGATTTGGTGTGAATGCAAATTTGGCTGTTGGTGTGAACACAATTGTCCGAATCATCCATTTCACTCCTACATATACAGTAGGAAATAAATTCATATTCAGACCTCACAAAAGCATCTTCATAACCCCTTGGGCATTGTGCTTTGCTAATATCTCTCACATAGTAAAACCATACAAGTACGAATATGTTGTCAGTTTATGTCTCTCAAAGGCTATGACATGGGAGATGTTCCAAGTGTACACTTGCAGTGGCCTATTGAGACATTAATGGGAGCGTATTTTGCCGGTAGAAGATCCCTAGCAAGACCAACAATCCAGGCTCTTGGCAGTGTTCTTGGACGAAACATATCAACACATTACACATGTGATAACGAGACCATAGGAACGGGATCTGTTCCTCACACAGGGGCGATGTTTTCAATGCATGGTACGATGTTCATGTGAGGCACAAGCAAGGTAAGTTTTGGGGTGGAGACGTTGGGATCAAATCCCTTCGTCGCTAGGTTTTTTTTTTCTTGGTTTAACGCGTGCCCTCTTAGCCACATGAAAAATAATTAAATAATATATATATATTTTTTTAAAGAACAAATACACATAATCACTTCATTTTCTTTGTCAAAGAAGTATGAGTCAAGGTCAAGTAGACCAACACTGTGTAAAGTTTGACACATTGTCCCACAATAATTTTTATTGGTTTTCTAAATATATTATGTTTAGCAATATATTGATTTTCTAAATTTCAACAATATGTTGATTTTTAAGTGTATTGTTTCTAATAATACATTGATTTTAAAATTTATTATCTACTCCCTCACCTGCCACTACCAACAGCACAAATTCATAAAAATTTAAAAGTTGGACTGAACAATAAAAACCCCAGTCAAAATGAATCAGGCAAATTTTCTAAGATAGCTGTCATAATTTATGCAGTGCCTGTGCAATGTGCTCCAACGAGGGAACTGTACAGGTATTTACGATTACGATGTCTACTTTATTCACTCGCCTACTAAACATGCCGAGTCAACTCACTATTCATTAAGGAAGTCCAGACACCAAATTGAGTTTCAGTTGTTTACAAAATTTTCTTGCATTCCAAGGAAATGGATTAACTACTAAATTAGAACTAATTGTTTTGTCCATTGGCAGGTGTTTCTTCTGTGCTTGTTGGCCGGCTGTAGCATTTGTTGGTTCAACACCGTGTGCTTTGTTCTCTGCATCAGAAACTTTCCGGTGAACCGAGCCCTTGCTCTGTCCCTCACCATCAGCTTTAATGGAGTGAGCGCCGCTATATACAGCCTTGCTGCTAATGCCGTAAACTCCAGCGACGATGCTGTGTATCTACTTCTCAATGCACTTATCCCTCTTTTCACCTCTATAGCCGCGCTCCTACCAATCCTCCGCCAGCCCCCGTTTCAAACCCTCCCCTCCGACGTCGTTCGCCGCGATTCCCTTGTATTCCTCTTTCTCAACATCCTCGCCATATTCACCGGCCTCTACCTCCTCCTCCTCAACTCAGTTTCCTCTAGCGCATCAACCGCGCGCTTCCTCTTTGCTGGGGCTGTCCTCCTTCTCGTCATCCCCTTGTGCATCCCCGGCACGCTGTACGCTCGAGATTGGGTCCACCGGACCGTCCACTCCAGCTTCCGCCTCGAAGGCTCCGGCTTCAATCTCGTCGACATCGATGACCTTGAGCTTCACAAGGAGTTCATTGGACGTGAGAACGTCAACGGAAATGGCAGTAGCAACACACTGCTTACGAATGGCAACATAATTTCTAATGGAGATGCTAGACACGATGAAGGGGAGAATGATGGGTGCTGTGAGAGGGTAATCGAGAAGGACCAGTTGGTGATGCTCGGCGAGGAACACCCTGCTCGGATGCTGGTTCGTAGGTGGGACTTCTGGCTCTACTACGTTGCATATTTCTGTGGGGGTACGATTGGGCTGGTATACAGTAACAATCTTGGGCAGATTGCACAATCGCTTGGGTTTAGCTCCCACACTACGACGCTCGTCACGCTCTACTCATCCTGCTCTTTCTTCGGCCGTCTGCTGTCAGCAGCTCCGGATTTCATGCGTGCGTAAGTAATTCCTCCTATTTTCTTTAGTCTACTCCACTCTTCGTTGCGTTTGCACCTTATCGCTCACATTTTAGGGTTTGACTTCAACTCACTGAGTTAACCAGCTTTCTAACCAACCGAGTGGTTGCTCAATTAGTAACTTAGCTGGGTATTCCCAGCGCCCAGCGCCCCAGCGGGCGGATATGCGGAATCGACTCTTGGATTCAGCAAAATCCGAATCTGATTCGATTATTGAAAATTTATATCCAAATCCTATTTTAATCTTTACAATAAAATTAAAAAGTGAATTATTTTTCAACTTTTATATATAATAAATAAATGTTAAATAAAACATAATAATTATATAAAATTTATATATCAAAAATAATAAATATTATAATATAATTGAATTTAAACATTAATAAGACCAAATGAAATCAAATCCTAATTTAATCCAGTTTAATCAGATGCATATTACAAAATTCTAATCCAATCGAATTACATAAATACATATAGTTGTATCTGATGTCAGATTAGACCTTGACTTTCGAGTATCATTGATAGTCCTACTCTTTCATCTTCCTTTTTGTGTGTATTTTTACAATTCATTGGGTCAGTGTGAACTTGAATGCTATCACAACTTCCAACAATTCTAGGATGGTGACCTTGAAGAGTTCAAATAAGCCCCCCACATAATCCTACATCCCCGCCCGTATCGAAAACATCTTCCAATGATGATATCATCATTTTTAGTATTATCATGGAAAAATGTTTTCAATAGTAGAATGTGCTGTGGGACGTTGTGGGGGGTTGATTTGATTTGGACTTTGAACCTGAATTGTGGTTAAGGACGTGGGTAGCTATTTTACCCAGCCGGAAATACACTCAACAACATAGTATTAGTCCTCCACATGACCTTATCCTTTAACAAGTAAGAAAAGTGGCCAAGAATCCTAAGTCGTGGCAAATTAATGGAGGTGCAAAAGTCATCCAAGATTGAGTAGACCTCATTTATCCCGGATATTTTGCTTAGATGAAAGCTGCCTATTGATGTGGACTACCATTGTTTCCTTTCTGAATATTTTTATCGGATGCAGTTCTCAGTCCTCACAATACCATGCTAAAACCGTGTTTACATCCACTTTGCAGCGTGTTTATACTTGTGCGTTCTAAAGGAGTATTTACACTTGATTGATCTACCTTTATGTCATTGTCTGCTTTGATAACCTTTCCTTCCTGGGTGGGGAACCAAAGTCATCACAGCCAATAGCTTCATCGCTTGGTTAATTCCTGTCAACTTGGGGAGATTTTCAAATCAAAATTTACAGATAAGTATCAGTTTCTGACACTGATTGCATGAAAGTTTTTTCCGGGACCTTCGATTCTAAGGGGATTTTCTTTGGGGAGGAGGGGGTTTCTTAGATGGTGAACAATTGACAATATAGTTAATAACTGTTTGCAAGGGTGCCCATTGTAGCCTTGTAGGATTCAAACCTTAAAACCGAATTCAACCAAACTGAATTTATGATTTGATTTCATTTATCATTTTTTTTAAATTTCATTTTACGGTTTTGATTATTATTATTTTTTTTGGGATTTTATAAACCAAACCAAATGTATAAAATTATAAGTATATAATAAATTATTTTATTTTATATTAAAATAATAAAAAAGTTTTAAGTTTTACCTTTTAGATGTATTATTTGGGGTCTTTTAATTGATATTATTTAGTTTAATATCAAAACAGTTTAATTTGGTCCGAAAATTTGAAAAGACCGTTGCTAATTGTGAATCCTGACATACAATCAAGGACGAAGCCTACACCGTAGGCTTCTTTTGGTATATGCCAGTGCCAGACATGACTGATTCAGAACATCCCTCCAAATTCCAATAGAAGACCATCTGTATTGCTCAAATATTCATGTATAAAAAATTTATGATATTTCTTTTAACTTCTAGAGAGACGACGGACAAGAAACAAACAGAATCTATCAAATAGCTTACATTAGTTTCCTGTTCGAAAAAAAAAAAAAAATTGGAATCTGAACAGCTTTGACCAATTAAAGCCTTCTGTGAATTTTGATAAATACTCACTTGATTTATTACCATACTATATAGTTGATTGGTTATAAGAATTTCAGATGTCAAAATGGACAAGGGGAAATTCTAGGTAATTATATATAAAACGTTTATGTATGCAGGAAGATGTATTTCGCACGCACGGGATGGCTCACAATGGCTCTCTTGCCGACGCCGATCGCCTTCTTTATCCTTGCCGCCTATGGCAGCAGTATGGCATTGCACGCCGGAACTGCCCTCATCGGTCTGAGCTCCGGATTCATATTTGCTGCAGCCGTTTCAATCACATCGGAGTTATTTGGCCCTAACAGCATGGGTGTGAACCACAACATCCTCATCACTAACATTCCAATTGGATCTCTTGCGTATGGATTCATGGCCGCAGTCATCTACGATGCCAACGCCGGCGTGACGTTCCGGGACTCGGGTAAGTTGGATGGGGAGATGGTGTGCATGGGGAGAAATTGCTACCTACAAACCTTTGTGTCGTGGGGATGCATTTCCTTGTTAGGCCTAGCATCCAGTGTGTTACTCTTCATACGGACCAGACCTGCTTATGACCGTTTTGAACGGAATCGGAGACAGATGCAATCGTATTAACTGCAGTATTCTCATCTATCGAAATTCGAAAATACATCATATATTTAGAAAAGTTCGATACCAAACCACCAAATCAAGGGATTAGTCCTGTCACGAGGAGATCAGGCGGTTGATGAAGCTTGACGTGCAGAGAGTCATTGGCTTTGATATAAACCACATTGATTTTTGTTTTTCTTTCTTGTAAAGGGTGCATAACTAGCAATTGTTTCCTTTTTTTTGGTACTGTAATTGTTTTACTCGATACAAAATTGCAGTTTTGGCTCTTTCATTTTGTTATTCATTCATATGTTTCCTCGAAACAAGAACAACTGCCACTGTTGGAGAAATGAAATGATACATGTATTTAACTATTTATGCGAAATAGGGTTGGCACTCGATAAGCTTTAGATTTCTGCTATGTCCAAAATAACAGTGCCCCAATTATAGCTTGTGCTTTTTGACTTTACATTGTTACGTTTTTCAGAAAGCAGTTTTTGACAAATTCTGCAAAAACTCTCTTTCCTATTCCCAAACCCACTTAAGAACCCTTCATCCTAAACCTGTTCCAAATTCATTTAATTTTTCTCTCAATTTCCCAAATCCATCATCACATAATTAAGTGAAATGTGATGTCACTCTCAACTAGGCTCCTTTCATTTAAAGTGTTCTTCTTTGCATTAACTATTAGGCCCTTTTAGCTTCATTTATCGGAAGAAATCTGAGCATCAATTTTCTATAGTTCGTGGAGGTCTAGTAAGCGAGTACATGCCTACCAATGGCCTATGGGCTGTTTTATCTTTGGCGACCGGTTTGCTATCACCTGATTGCATCATAGGGGGAAAATACGGTTTTAAGGAGAGTGACTAAGTATCACGACTCAGCCCTCCATCTTCCTACAATTCCCAGTTTCGAGTTCCTACAACAACTTCACATCACTGCAACTTCGGTTTGGAAAGCGATTACCGATAAGTTCCATCTGCTCTCTTTACTATTATTATAACATTCTTAAAACCGTATTTATGGAACCTATCACTGCTAACCCCTTCATGAGAAACCGAATACTATTAATAGTTCCCGACTTTTCTAAGATTGAATCATTCAATGGAACCAACTACAAGCGTTGGAGACAATGCCTGTTGTTTGCCTTAGAACAGTTAGGGGTACCCTTTGTTTTGGTCGAACCCAACCCATCAAACATGGAGAACCAGCCCGTTTTGTTTTTGTGGAACACTAAACTACAATCAACCACCTCCGCACCAACCATATCCTAAACTGCTTGTCTAATGAGTGTACAATGTTTACTCTTCCTACAATTAGGTCTATGAAATCTGGAATGCATTGGACACTAAGTATGCTCTAGAAAATGTCAGAAACAAGAAATATGTCATTGCCAACTTCCTATACTTCATTATGAAAGAAGACATGGACGTGTCTACCCAAATAGATGAATTCCAGGTTCTTGTAGGGGAACTGGCAAAGGAAAGCATGGTACTGCCAGATGAATTCGTTGTCAGTTCTCTCATAGAAAAACTGCCACATACATGGAATGATTTCAAGACCAGTATGAAGCACAAGAGGAAGGACACTACTTTGGACCAAGTAGTGGTCCGAATTAAGATTGAAGAAAAGAACAGAAAAAAAATGAGGACCAGTTTTCCAAAACCAATCTGGTGGAGGAAAAGACTACAAAATTCAAAAAGAACTTGAATGTAAAAAATGACGAAAAATTCAAGAAGTAACAAAAGAAAGGAAATTGCTATGTATGTGGCAAATCCGGACATTACAAGAAGGACTGTCGGTACCGAAAGGACTGTGGATAACTGAAAGTCAATTTGACTGAGGATGTTTTCGCAGTCATGGTAATTGAGGTAAACTTAGTTGATAAGTCGAAGGAGTGGGTACTGGACACTGGTGCTACCAAGCACATCTGTGGGGACCGCAATTCCTTCTATGAGTATACAACTCAGACTGAAGGAGAGCAAGTCTTCATGGGAAGCTCACAAACTTCGAAGGTCATCGGCAAAGGAAATGTGCTCCTGAAACTAACTTCAGGAAAAATTGTAATGCTAAATGATGTGCTGCATGTGCTGGAGATCTGAAGGAAATTGGTATCAGGAGCACTCCTCAACAAAGTGGGACTGAAACTCACATTTGAAGCAAACAAGGTCGTGTTGAATAAAAATAATGTATTTATTGGAAAAGAATAAAATATAGGAGGATTGTTTGTACTGAATGTTTCTGATATTATTATGAATAAAATTGCTTCTTCTTTTGCTTATATTGTTGAATCTTTTGATATTTGGCATGCTAAACTAGGACATCGTAGTGCTCCTTATTTAAAACATTTATGTAAATTAGGAGTTTTGAATGTTCCTATTAATTTTAAAAAAGAAAAATGCCAAGTACGTGTAGAAGCAAAATTTATTAAAAAACCTCATAAAAGTGTACAAAGAGAAGCTGAATTGTTACAACTTATACACAATGATCTAGGAGACCTTAAATGTCATGAAGCTAGAGGAGAAAAAAGATACTATATAACCTTTACAAATGATTTCTCTAGATATGAAAAAGTAGTTCTACTTAGATCAAAAGATGACGCTGATCAAGCTTTCATAAACTACAAAACTAAAGTAGAAAATCAGTTAGGAAAGAAAATAAAAGGACTTAGAACAGATAGAGGAACTGAGTATGATGGACAAACCATTAGAAAATTCTTTGAAGAAAATGGAATCATACATGAAACCACAGCTCCCTATTAACCTGAATCTAATGAATTTGCAGAAAGACTTAACAGAACACTAAAAGAAGTGATGAATGCAATGCTAATTAGTTCAGCTGCACCTCTAAAGTTGTGGGGGGAAGCAATCCTAACGGCTTGTCACCTATATAATAGAATACCACTCAAGAAGAAATGACAAATACCCTTTGAACTTTGGCATAATAGAAAACCTAGTTTGAACTATCTAAAAGTTTGGGGCTGCTTAGCAAAGGTTGGAATACTCGAACCTAAAAGTTCAAAGGGTATTTGTCATTTCTTCTTGAGTGGTATTGGCTATGCACAAAACAGTGCATAACCTAAATTAGGATCGAAAACCTATGACTATGTGTTCATTGGCTATGCACAAAACAGTGCGACTTATCGGTTCCTTGTAATTAAAAATTGAAAATGTTGTTGAAAATAACACAATAATAAAGTCCCGAGATGTAGAGTTCTTTGAGCACATCTTCCATTGGAGAATATAAACATTAAATAGGGAACCTTCCCAAAACCAAGTAGAAACCAAAAACAAGTGAGTGCTCAAGGAATCAGTACTTCACTTAGGCAAGACCCAGACTTAAGGAGAAGTAAAAGACAAAGAAGAGAAACAAACTTGGGTGACGGAATGTTTACATTTCTGGTGGACAAGGACCTAATAACCTATCAGGAAGCTGTAATTTCACCTGATGCAGTTTTTTGGAAAGAAACCATAAAAAGTGAAATAGACTCTTTAGTCACTAATCATACTTAGGAACTTGTAGATCTCCCACCTAGAATTAAGGCACTAGATTGTAAGTGGATCTTTAAGAAAAAAATAAAACCAAATGGCACAATAGACAAATTCAAAGCCAAATTAGTTGCTAAGGGGTTCAGACAAAAGAAAGATATAGACTTCTTTGACACTTACTCCTCGGTTGCAAAATTAACAACAATTAGGGTTTTCATTGCTATAGCATCCATTTACAAGTTGGTAGTTCATCAAATGGATGTGAAAAGAGCTTTCTTAAATGGGGAATTAGAAGAAGAAATTTACATTAGGCAACATAAAGGCTTCACAATGTTAGGACAAGAAAATAAAGTATGTAAATTAATTAAGTCTTTGTATGGCTTAAAACAAGCTCTCAAACAATGGCTTGAAAAATTCGATAATGTGTTAGCAACTAATGGATAGAGCAGAAATTATTCTGATAAATGTATCTATTGAAAATTTGAAAATAATACAAGAGTCATGATCTATTTATATGTTGATGATATGCTAATAATGAGAACTAGTCTAGAGGTAGTAAAAGAAACAAAACAATTTCTAATGTCCAAATTTGATATCAAAGACTTGGGTGAGGCTGATGTAATATTGGGGATTAAAATCCATAAAGAACAAGGAAGCTATATTCTCTCCCAATCACATTATGTAGAGAGTATTCTTAGGAAATTTGGACACTATGATTGGAAACCGATTAAAACACCTCTTGAATGTAGCATTCACTTAAAGAAACATGTAGGAGAATCTATTTCACAAAAGGAGTATGCAAGTATAATTGGATCTGTATCTTACTTAATGAACTGTACAAGACCAGACATAGCTATAGCTGTGGGAAAATTAAGTCAGCATACTCATAATCTCAGGAATGAACATTGGGAAGCTTTAGTAAGATTATTAAAATATTTAAAAGGACCCATAAACTTTGGTTTACATTACTAAGGTTTTCCTCCTGTTTTAGAAGATTTTACTGATGCGAATTGGATTTTATATTCAAAGGATAGTACTTCCACTAGTGGATATGTATTTACTCTAGGTAGAGGAGCAGTATCATGGAAATCGGTAAAGCAGTCATGTAATACAAGTTCAATAATGGAGGCCGAGTTCATTGCACTAGAATTGGTGGGGTTCGAGAAAGAGTGGCTAAGGAACTTGCTGGCAGATATACCACTTTGGCCGCGACTAGTTCATCCATATCTCTCCATTGTGATAGCCAAGCAGTGATAGCCAGAGCCAAGAACCAGACGTACAATAGTAAAAGAAGGCACATCCGCTTAAGGCAAAACCTTGTAAGACAATACCTCAGTGAAGGTACAATCGCTCTGGATTTTGTAAGGTCTGAAAAGAACCTTACAAACTCGTTAACCAAACCACAAACTTCTAAAGTGGTTTATGAGGCATCGGTAGGAATGGGGTTGAAGCCCGTTACAAAGTCATTAGTGACGGACACCCAACCTATGTGAAAGGAGATCCCTGGAATTAGGTTGAATGGGTAAAAACGAGTCGCTAGATGACTTGGGAAAGCACTATCATTTATGTCCCATTTTAGATGTCGAGGTAAGATAGTTCTCATTGCAGAATGAGGAGGATGTGCATGAGGCTCTTATTCAGTTAGGAATAGTGTGAAGTGTGGTTGCTTCAATGAGAGATCTAGGGCTGACTCTCTAAAACACTCATGATTCCAAGAGGGAAACAAGGCCTAAATGTTCCAAAACAAAAGAACCACTAAAGAACTAGTGAGTTGAGTTGGTTGGCCGGTTAGCTAGTTACGATAAGGAGGAAAGGTTTAAGGAGTCTGACTCCACATGCACTCTATAACATAGCCTGTCATACCTAAGTGTTGATTGAAGTCCAAAAGACATCACCCTGAATACTTTTCTCGCCGCGATGCTCAGACTGTTCGGTCTTCTTGTAATTTTGAATCTTGTGGGGGATTGTTGGAGGGAGATTCAAATTTACAAGAATCTCTCTCCYCCCTCTCTTGTTTTTTGTCCTTTCCTCTTCCCACCCTTAAATGACTCCTTGTCCCACATTGTTTGGGAAAGGAGTGGAAGTGGAGTATATTTATAGTCTTGCTCCCTCTATGGGGTAGAGACCCATAAGAGGAGAGGTCTATAGATATTCCATGCATGTGAGGGGGTTGGGGGTGCTTTTCTCATGCGCGCACCGAGCCGAGTTGGGCCGGGTCGGGGTGTAGGCGTGGGTGTGGGTGTGGGTGTGTGTGCATGTATACGCAATGCACCGAATTTTTTTTGTCTAACCGATTTATACATTTTCTTTTCAAATTTGAGTCTTTTCAATTTCGAATTTAATTTCAAATTAAAACGTTTTCTTTTTTGTTTCTCTTCTTCCTCGTGTTTCTTGAAACAGGTGCACTGTTTTGAAGAGTCTCTTGTCTGAAAGGACACATCTATGTCCATTCGGGTCTGAGAGCACTCTATAAGAAGAGTGCTGGTACACACACGATTTTTCGACATTCTTGTTTTCTCTGAGAAATCTGAGCATCAATCTTCTGTGGTTCGCAAAGGTCTGGTAAGCGAGTGCACGCCTACCAATGGCCTGTGGGCTGTTTTATCTTGGCGACCGGTTTGCGATCACCCAGCTGCACCATAGGGGGCAAATACGGTTTTAAGGAGAGTGACAAAGTGGCATGACCCAACCCTCCATCTTCCTGCAATTCCTAATTTCAAGTTCTTGCAACAACTTTACATCACTACAAGTTTGGTTTGGAAAGCGATTACCGATAAATTCCATTTGCTCTCTTTACTGTTATGACAACATAAATTCAATACCCAACATGTGTTTTTCAGTAGCATGTGTGGGTAAGTAGACATATAATTCGGCCCCCCAAGAGAGGATTCCTAGCATGGCCATTTGCTATATTTAATAGCAATTGATTATGATATTAGAAGAAATTAGGAGGGTGTTTGGTAGTGTGAAAATATCACGGATGGGACCGTTTTGGTCCTGTCCACGATAATGTGGTGTTTTTCTTTGTGGGGTCAGTTTGTGGGAAAGATTCAAAATAATGTAGGTGCATTAACACTAGTCCAACTACCCTCATTTTATTTAATATTTTAATATATTTAATTTATATTGAAACTATTTTTTAACTATTTATTATTGAAGGTAATGTCATGATGATAAATATATTTGTTTTTATATTTATTAGTAATTACATATTGGTGTTTTTTTTTATCCATTATTATTTCAAATTATTTTTGGCTTAAACTATGGTTTTTTTTCATTCATGATCGTATGGGTGCAAATGGATTTGACCATCCAATCCGAATCCGATTGTATTTTTGTAAGATTCGAATAACCCTTTATCAGATTTTTGGATCGAATCCAATTGGAATTTGGATTGCCCCTATCCAATTTGACAGGGTCTGATCCAATCCAACCAATATATGTATATATTTATAAACACATTTACTTATAAAAATACAAGTATATATTAATATATTTATGTATATATATGTTTATATTGCATTTTTTGTAAAAATTTTATAAAAAGATACGTATATATTAATTTATATGATGAAAATAGTTGAGAAGAAACTTATATTTTTTGTTTTTTTTTTTTTTATATAAACATTTTTGTTTTTTCTTTCAATAATTTATTAAATTTTTTCTTGATTTGAACTGGATCGGATTAGATTCAGATATCTAACATCCTTAACGGATTTGAAATTGAATTACCATTTGTGAGATCCAATGGGATCTTAAAATCGGATTCAGATATATACCTTGATTTGAATTCGAATTCGATCCGTTTGCATCACTACATGATTGATTGTATAAATTATTTCACAAATTATACACGAAATGTATAGAATCATTATGTATGATGTGAAGAAATCCACACTACACTTGCAGAACACCCAATGTAAGTATAAACAGTTTTAATCCACATAATTTTGTCTGCAATTTAAAACAAATATAAATAGCAATATAGTGTAGATTAATCCCTGCCAGAATGTCCTACCAATTTTTCAACTACATCACAAAACACCTCTAAACAAATCAACTATTACTAGAAATGAGGCAAATGGTTTTTATTAAAGAGGGAGGTCCAATATCATGTTTTTCAACGATAGGTTTTCCATTTTAATATTAATAATGTATACATGAACTTATAATCAGATAATCGGAGTGATACCTATATTAAATATAATAAATGGTTCTTATACCAAGGCACTCTAACGACAAAACCCGAACCCTAGGTCCCACTGGTCAAATATCGAAAAATTCCTACAAAATTGTAATCCTACCTACCAGTCTTATCTGTAGTAGGAGATGGAAAAAGTTTGGAGAATGACTGATGAGAGGAGGATAGCAGGTTACGACGACGCCATGAAGAGTCTTTTTCAAGCTATGGTTGGTTTAGACAGTTGGTTGGAGAGAAGTAATTAAGTCAGCCATACATAACTAATTAAAGCAGCTATGTGATTTTGTTGCAGAGATTGGCAGCAGTTCTCACGAGAGACCGGATCTGTTACTCACACCTGGCGCCTCATTAGCGCCTCACACGCACATCCTCCTATCCATTCCCGTACTTATTAGTGAATATTAATGGTGAACCATTTTTTTGTTAGAATTGTCCAGGAAACCATGACTACTGGTAACCGGTAAGACAAACTCTTTTGGTTATACATAAATGATCCAGCTATCCAAGACATCCAGCTATCCAAGTTTCTGACCTACAAATACAAGCTAGATATAAACATACCACATCTCTAATCCCAATCATTTTATGGGTGTTTTTCTGAAAGATAAAAAAAAAATTATTATAAAGCCAAAATATTAACAAAGTTCATAACATCAGGGATCCCCCTGGGGGTAATTATTTTAGGGGTTGGTTCTAAATTTCTAATAATTTTCTGGGTTTACGTATTCCCACATAACTATTCTCAGAAAAGATGGAAAATAACAGAACCATGCCAGGTATAATGTCAAATAACCAGTGATAATCAAAGTCCAATCAATTGGATCCGGATGGGAGCTCTGTTAATTGATACCGTTTTCCATCAATGACCTAAATCCCCAAAATATTTTAATTAAAAGTTTTTTAGAATATAGATTTATTTAAAATAAAGTAAAACTTAAAAAAAATAATATTTTAATATATATATATATTTTAAATATATATAATATTTAATACAGATAATATGTAATATATACAATCAGGGTTGACTTCACTCCTTGTCCCCGACCCATTGTAGGTCAGAGACAAGGAAAATTTGTCATCCCCATTTGTGAGTCAGGTAGGAAGCAAAATTGCCATCCCCATTTGTGAATCAGGTAGGAAGCAAGATGACATGGTCAAGTTGTACAAATTTCACATCAGTTTTTGAAATGTAAAAAAGTACAAGATGTGTATCAGGTAAGAATGTAATTCATGGTTACAACAAACGAATGCAAAACTGAATCGGTTGCAAAATTTGTATCCGATTCAGAATTTGCACTGCAGACAAACAGAGACTATCTTCTTGGTTGGGTAGTTATAAATCTAAATCACATCCTACTTCATATATATAGCCCGGGCTCATTCTTGGGCGCCTAACTACAGCTGTTACTGAGAATGATTACATGAGAGAGAGATGGATGAAATACTCAAGCCAATATATCATCCCTGGAACGGCTCATCATTTGTTGTAGCTCCCTGCAAAGGAAGCTAGAGGTCCGACCAGTGCACCATTGATGTAGGTGGCCGGTTCTGAATGGCTGTAATCGGTTCGGTCATCCGTGTAGGCATCATTCTGATTTGGGCCACCAACAACAGCACCGGTTAAGGAGTTAGGGTTAGGGTTTTGTGAGTAGTAATAGGGTTGAAAACCGCCATCGCAGCCTATGGACAGTGGGTGAACTGCCAAGGAGGGCAAGGAGGACCCTCTGTGGTGAATTCTCTTGGGGAACTTTGCTCCATAGCTCACCATGTAAGACATGTTCAGTGGGTTCGCCCCAAGAATGTAGTCCACCTGAAAAAATTGTCACGTAAAACCATCCATCAAAAAAGAGAATTCTCTCATAAGACTCGGACCGGACATAAGACCAGAATGTTCACCGGATCAGGTTTTGTCGGTTAATCGGGTAATTAGCCAATTAATCCCATAAAACCATCATTTAACCATAACCCAATAAGATTACCGGGTCACCGAATTTGGTCCATTGGGTCATCAAGTCACCGGTTCAACCATCCGGTCGGATTCAAGTCTTGCGTTTCCCATAGATCAATAACTTGCCTGTCTCTTTGCTAGGCTTCTCAAGCTGCTTGACTTGACCAAGGTGCTCCCACAATTGAAGGTATGGCTGCTGGATGACATGTACTTGGCATATGTATTGAGCAAGAAGGAAATGGAAGTAACATATTGGAGATTGCTGGAGCCCAGCTTGAACATCATACCACCTGCGTTTTAATAAGGTGGACATGGTTGGTAAAGCATAAAACAGAAACAACAGCTCCAAAAGTGAAAACCCATTTCAAAGGCTTGGGCTAAACCAGTGGGTATTCTTTATTGAGTTAATGGGTGTTGGACCCCCATTTTGATCATGACCCAAATCATGTAATCTTGCTCGGCCCATTTGGATAAAGTTGTTTCTTAGTTCTTCTTCCTTTCATAGGAACCAAACTCACCTGGTGTGTATGTTGTACTTGAAGAGGGAGAGTTGGGTAGAATTCGGCACATAAAATCTTCAGCTTGTTGTCTGAATCGATCATAGGACATGTCCTTGCTCAGCAAAGCTCGCTACACAATTCACAGTAAAAAGAATAATGTTAAGATTACTTGAATGCCCTAGTGTTCATTTACCATCAAAATGAACAAATTTATTTCCCATTGTACCCTTGATAGAAGAACACGGGCACCCGCGAATTTGTTATCCCAGCTAAAAATGTCAGTCGAGTCATCGGCTCCAAGCGATTTCAAGAAGTTGAAGTAGGTAACATCGTTTGTGGCTCTGAGAAGCCATGAAGCTCCCCATAGAAGTTCATCCTGTTAAAACAGAATTAGTTGATCTTATTAACTGATCAACATAGAACAATCAAGATTTTATACAAGCTCTGAAATTTTTTTTTTTTGGGGGGGTTTTTTGAGCTGCAAGCCAGGTGTGTGACACTGACGTAGAATTCGGATGGGCTAGAAATAAAGTGGGCTGGGCAGAACATGGCATATATATGAGATGTGGGTCCTAAATGGGTCCATGTGTGTATGACACACTGACATGTTCATTTTGTTTCTAGCCCATTCTTGACACTTCAACGGGCTTGATCCCACAGCTCTTATTCTGGACTGGAGGAACAATGACTAGAAACCATGTCATTCTAATCCTTTAAGGTTGGTTAGCTCATTCAGACCGTGAAAGTCATAAAAAAGGTCACGGTCACTGGTTCAACCATCTAGTCTGGTCCAAGCCTGAAAGCACTGGTTTAATCTTCAAATAAGAACTCTTACCTTATATCCCGAATATGAACAATAGAAAGGGCAGACAGCTGACCCAAGGGAGTCACTATAAGCCCCTCTGTAATTCATAGCGAACTGCATCACTTTCTTGGCTGTTGATAGGAGCCTCTTTGAGTACACCGGATCAACCTTCCGGAAAACCAAGGATGCAGCCGCTAGTGCGGCTGCAGTCTCCCCAGCCACATCAGAGCCAGGGTTGCTCTGCGACACAGAGTAGACAGTGCGGACTGTGTCCATGTCCTCGGGCCGCTCCCAGCACTTGTGATCGGCATTGGGGTCACCAACGCCTACATAAAGCTTGCCGGGGGTTGCTGTGGCGCACTTGAGAAGGTAGTCTGTGGCCCATCGGATGGCAGCTCTTGCATTGGCCAACTCGGAACCCATGGGTCTGGCATACTCCAGCGCCCCCCATGACAACATTGTGGTGGTGAATGCCATCGGAAAGTTGAACTTTACATTGTCGCCGGCGTCATAGTAGCCGCCTGATAGGTCCACCTGCAGATACAAGCTTATTCGTTGGTACTTGGTAGGGACACATAATTTGCTTTCTTTTTACAACATCCCTCGCTTTTGACCACAAGTAAAAATCCATTAGCACTTCTGTTATGTTTGGATATAAAGAAGCGTCATAGTTGCCTTGTCTTATAATGTGTCTTTTCTCTTTGTTTTTGCCTTGAGTATTCCTTTTAGGGGAAAATAGTACCAGATCATTGATCTAGGGAGCCAATTAGTGCTTTGTTTAGGGATGTCAATAGATCGGGTTAAATGGTAAACCTACACTGACCCTACTACTTCAACCTCAACCGAGTTTGAATCCGACCCATTTGCATCCTAGCTTGTCTAGTCATCTTAGGGTTGGCGGGCTTAAGGGCTGTGAGTCTTGCAATAACCCAGTGGCACTAGATTAAAACCGAGCCCAAAAGCTTGCTGAGCTCCATAACCCAGATAGCTTGCTTATGTTGAAAGATATAAATACAAACTCAACCCTTTAATCCCTAGCTGTTCATGATCTAGTTAGAGCTTCATGGGCCACACAACCCCCTTAAAGCACAAAGTGACAAAACAGAAAACATTAACAAAAAGCACTTCAAAGGAAAACAACTTAACCCCATGAAGAAAAATGACACAGAGTTACATGATAGCTACATACTTGGGCAGCTGAGCCATCAGAAAGTGCAGAGTTGGATCTCCATTTCATTCTTTGGCTGGAGGGGAGCCTCCCAGACCTCTGTCCTTCAAAGAACAAGAGTGACTTTGTTAAGGCATCCCTGTAATTTGGGTGCCCATGGACACAAACCAAGAACACAAGGGAAAAGAAGAAACAGAGAGAAGCTGCCTTTCTCAATGCCATTGAGATTCGAAAAGCTATAGCAGTTTATGCACATTCTGATAGAGAACCACAACGTCTGTATATATAGTAGTGACTAGTGAAGAACCCCATATCCCTGACTTCACCGCAAAATTAGGCTTTTTTTCTTCTCATCTTTCTTTTCTCATGCAGGATTCATAGAAACTGAAAAAGGGTTTTGCACGTCAGTGGTCAAGACCTAACAGAACCACCGATCCTTGTGTATGAGATACATTGAACCAAAAGATGTGTTCATCATTCTTTATCGTCTGATCCGGATCAAGTTGCATCTGATGTGGTCCCCACCAGTATCGGACGGTGAGAACTGTATTGGGCGTAGGAAATTATTTATATCCGAGGTCTGGTCGTCGTCTGTTTGGCTTATCCCCGACCACATTTCACAAGTGGTTGCCTCGTCCATGGGAAAAGATGGCTTGGTCTGGTCGTGCTAGAGTGCTAGAGCGCTAGAGTGCAAAAGCAAAAACACAAGAATCAAAAAAACTATGCAGAAATAACGACTACTTACTTTTTGAACTCTCTTTGCCATTTTAATGAAGCGGTGCATAAGGAGAGGCGCAAACGGCGTGCTAAGAAATCGGCTCCACGGATTTGAATTGATTGATGGATGACGAAAAAACCGGCGCAATCGTTTGGAATTAATTGGATCGGTGCTTTTCTAAGGTTTTTGTTACGTGCAAAACAACGATAGGCGCGTCACAGTTTTGTGCCACCTCTCTTCAACACATGAGAATTCTGAAAACAGTAATACGCACTTATATTTTCTCATGTGACGGTACAGTTGTTATGAAATTGTAAGTAATGAATTATTGACACGGTAGGTAACCTCAAACAGGATTCGTTTGGTTTGGGTGGTTTTCTGTTTTCAAATTCTATTTATTGCTTAAAAAAAATTATTTTTCTTATTTAGTTAACATTTTTTAAATTTACTTGATAGAAAGAAAGGGGTTTTTACTGTTCTGTCCATCCAACAAATCTTACCTCCATTGTGTAGTTGGGGTAGGTGCGAGCTCGGAATTTATGCAAATGTATGGACATGTATTGGTGTTGTAAGTGGAGGTATTTAAAATTTTGAATTATTGTAGGTATGTAGTGAAATTCAAAATTCTGAATTAAAAAATAGAAAAATTAAAAGAAAAAGAAGATGAAAGAGGAGGGTTGGATTAGGTAATAGGATAGGTTAAAGAAATGGAGACTAAAGAAGACTGAGGCGGTGTTTCATAATTCTAAAAGGGGGTTTGATATCTAAAAAACTTGATTTTCAAAGGTTGGATTTCTTCTATGTTAACATTTAAACCATGTTTCTAAAAAGTGATAAAAGGCCTAATTTGATAAGGGGTATAAGTGTCATGCGTATAGTGAAATCAAAGCCTTTGATTTATAGATGTGGCCACTATGCGTATAATGACACCCCCTAAGTATTAAAGAAGAGATTGATAGAGCAAGTTGCAATGGAGATGCAACGATTGTTGACTATTGCACAATGAAGAAGTTCTCACCTATTGTGATTCAAATCATGACTATAATATGCATCTTCACTAGTTCTTCAAAAATTATAAACCATTTAATTAATTATGAAAAATGTGATAAAATGGGCAAATTATTCCAGAAAATCCTATAAATGGGGTTTTGTTTTTCTGATTAAATTTTGCAGGACAAAGAAAATGGAATATTTGTTTATACAAAGGGTATCCTATAGTGACTTAATTATGGGCGCCAAACTGCCATTCATTCATTCATTCATTCATTGTCATGTAGATGTAGCCCCAAACCTAAGCTTTTTACCAAAGTAAAACTTATAGCATAAGATGCATTAAAGTATTGGATATTTGGATCCTTTATTTCAGATTGAAGGAAGACTGAATTAAAATATCTACAAGATTTTTTTGTTTAATACTTCATTACTCTAGAGATGATACACTCCCACCCATCTATCCTGACCATTGGATTGGTGGGGTCCTCTTTGTCTAAGCAACATCAAAGCAATCCACCTGTCCAAACGTAAATCTAGGTGTTCTGGTTAATTTGATTAGGGAGAAAGTTACTGTAGTTGTTATAAGCAATCGCACAAGATGCTAGTAAAAGATAAAGGAGACATGAGCTTTATTTATTTATTTTTCTTTTCGTAGATGAAGATGAACCTTCTTTATATACTTAACCATTGAAGACTATCATAAGGGTATTAGTTGCAATTGAAGTCTTTGAACGCAGTGAAAATGAGGGTTCTACGCCTTTTCATGCATTGCATTTCATCTGCTATAATTGCTAAACTTGATTGTTACTCTATACTGAAGCAAGGATGTATTTGGTTCACAAGAATAATGGTTTGGAATTGGAATCAGAATAATTGATTTCAATTCTCTAACCATTTGGTTGAGCGAGATCGAAATTCGATTCTTACTTTTGGTGGGATGGCATATTCTATCCACTTCCTTGGGAGTGAGAGTCTCATTGCAACTAATTTCAATTCTAATTTCCTTGTGAACCAAACAGGTGGAGGAATAGATTTCCGATTCCAGTTCTAACCGTAAACCAAACGAACCCCAAATATTTCTTACAACTTGCCACGTTGCTGATGTTATCAAATCAAGTGGTAGTTTCAAAACACGTAACCAAAGAATATGTATTACGTGTACGCCATACTAACACAGTAATTAACGCTTTTTAGTTTTTACCAATGGAAAATGAGGTCAACAACTTCAATTCAAATGGAGGAAGCATTCCCCGCAAAGAGATCACTGCTTAGGGGATTCTATCCACACTGTTTTCTGTTTCAGAAACATGGTGATGAGATAAGAATCTTGTGAATTAAAAACTCTTTTTGTGAAAATGGATTAGTTTTTCGTTTTTTTTTTTCCTGTGATTGTGTGTGTATGGAAGCATTACCCCTTCAAAGAACTGACGAAGAAGCCCAAGGGATCACTGCTCAGTGCTCACGCCATTTCAATTTCAATGTGGATGCTGAACCACCCGGAATGCAACTACCCTTTTTTCAGTGCTAACCATTCCTTCGGTTGTCAAAAGGACTGCACCATCTCATTCCTGAAAATAAATAAGTCTGGGTCCGGGTTGGTGAAGAATGGATTGGGTTAGGGTTGATTATAAGGGTGTTAGCCCGCCAAAACACTGAACCAAGCTAAAATTGGTGGTTTGGTCTGGCCAGTTTGATTTTGTAAGAATTCCTCGTACCAATAAAAGATAATTTTTATTGGTACGAGGAATATCAATAAAAGATAATATTTTTATAAAATAATAAAAATGAGGTAACTTTTTTTTAAATATAATAAAAGAAATATTTTTATAAAACAATAAAAATAAGGTAATTTTTTTAAATAATATCAAAGGACAATGATACTGTTCATCGTCTGCGTCCGTATTCAGACTCTCTTGTCTGCTAGAAGGTTGGTAGACTCCGTTTTCTTAAAAAGGTAAGAGAGAAGAGAATATGCCGGTTTCAGCTCTTCGTCTCCCCTTCCTCTGCCTCCACCCTCAATCAGTCCTTACCTCCGTTTATTTTTATTTTATTTGTTTTCTTTTTATCGTTTAGAGTCTCACGAGTCACGGCTGTCGGATATGCACAGCACGGCGGACTGGCAGACGGACCTTGCATTTGTAAAGGGGGTCATGTCCCCCCCCTCGCAATTCCTGATAAAACCCGTAAAACCCACAGCTCCAGCCAAGATATCTTCCGGCCGGGATTGTCGATTCTGAGGGCTCTGCTGCTTGAGAGCAAAGAACGAAGGGCAAAGAAAGACAATGATCAGTGTCATTGCCCTTTCTTGATCTTTTTAAAAAATTTACCTTATCTTAGTTATTTTATAAAAATAGTATCTTTTCCCTACAACTTGCCGTTCCACAGCACATCCCCACCATGTATTGGGAACATCTCTCAATAATAGTATCAATTTTGATGATGTCATTATTGGAAGGTGTTTCTAATACATGGAATGTGCTGTGGGGCATTGTGTAGGGGTGATCATTTTAGCCCGACCCAGGCTCGGGCCTACATTATATCTGCAAATTTTAGGGCCGGATTTGAACTTAATACTTAAAATCCGACCTGGCCCGCATGTATTTAAACTTATAATTTTGTTTGTAATGTATACATATTATTTTATATTGTATTAGTATTTTATATATAAATATTATAATGACATGTATAATTCATAATATATGTAATATTTTATATTATATAATGTATAAAATAAATTTATATGTATATTATATCATTTAATATAATAATATTTTATATATGACTGACATTGATCCAGAATCAGGCCCGACCCGGTCTGGCCCATATCTGTATAGACCTGGGCTAGGGCTTATGTTTTAGGCCCGGAATTCTGAGCCTAAAACTATAGCCCTTATCATAATGGCAAAACCTGGCCTGGCCTATGATCACTCCTTGGCGCTAGCATTGTGGGGCGGCTCCTTGTAGGACAGAGATGTGATGTTGACTCTTTTCGGATCAGGCTCAAGCTTTCTCAAACCTGGTCCAATAATAAAAATAGATAATATATTTTTTGTCTTTGTCTCCAACTGTAGTGGTGAGCTTGTTCATTTTTTTCTGTCAGGCTGGGCATGGTCCAGGGCTTCAACATGTTTTATTAACATAGGGACAGATCCCGGGCCGTAAATGGGTCTACTTTAGTATGATATCTATATATCATTTCTATGCATGCGTCTATAAATTTGGTAGGCAAAGTTCCAACTCTGACCCAACTGAATTAATAAACTGGTCTAATAATCAGGTTGGATTAGAGTTAGGGGTGAGGTTTTGACACAACGGCTTATTCTAGGGTAAACCTCAACCCGAGCCAACTTGGCCTGAGCCTGCACCCTTTTATGTTTTCATATTTAATAGGCTAATTTACACTAGCCAAGTCGTTTCTCAACTGAAACAAAAGGGAGTCTATAAAACATTTACTAGATGTTTGCAACCATTTACCACCATATTAAAACAGAAACTGTCATAGGAGCCCCATAGCAGGGAAATACAAGTTCACTGCTATAAATTTGTTTAGAGTCCAAT